CAGAGAGCCCGGGGATTGAACCGGCGACCTTCCAGTTACAGATGCAATTCCCAACCCCCTGAGCCACAGTCGCCCCAGATGCCAGGTTCTCTCTTCATTCCTCATTTGCAAATCCAGCAGCATGCTTCCGGCCCCAAGATGCCAGTTTTGGCAGGAGCCTTTGCAAAGCAAAGGTAAACCTTCGTGGCACCGAGATGCCAGGTTCTGTCCTCTATCACTTCTTTTTAGACACCCAAACTGCGTCGTGTGCATAATTCTTCATGGTGTCCCTTCATTTCTCATGTGCTATCACTAGCACCATCAGGCATCCACCCTCGACACAATCATTCGAGACCCCTCTCTAAGTCGACTCATGGTTCTGACTACGTCTGAACAGCTTATCATCTCCCACGAAGTCCAATGGACTCGCAATCTGCTCTCTGATGATTTTGGGGGTTATTATTATAGACATTATTTTCCTCTAAACAGTCTTCCCAAGCTGCTGCTGTCACTTCTGTTAATTCAGAAATCAGCTCAGTCATAATTGCTACCCTATCCAAATTAATTAACCCGCTAAGCACCCTCCCTCTTCATCTTTCACTCAAAGACAAGCTCACAAGCTTTTCGAGCCGTCAAGCCCTACCTCAAATCTCAAATCCAGCATTTTTTTCTGTTAGCGTTTCAGCTGAAAGTCGAGCCACGTCACTACCCGATTGAGGGTTCCCCTCATTCATCCATTAAGATTTTTGTCTTTGTTTGCAACTTCCTTGGATCTCTTCTCCTGCCATTCCTCCTGAATTGTCCAAGTTCATTCACTCCACACCATGGAGAGATGTTCCCTCTCCGTGCAATCTCCGTGTGCTCGTCTTCATCCTCTTCTCCTTCTCTCTCCCCAACCGGTTGCTTCAGATTGCTCGTTTGGCTCTGGTCGAAGGCAGTCGCACTTTTCTCCACTCCTCCTTCCCCTTATCTTCCCTGCTTAGCCTCTTGTGTCCTTGTCTTGTCTCGTGTGTATTACTTTCCCTGGAACACTCTCTCACAGTCTGTTTCTAAAACCTAAAAGAGAATTATGGATTTGATCAACTGGTCTCTCAATGCTATTGACACCCTTTTCTCAACGAGAAGTCTGGGCTCGGGAGAGCCCGAGTGCCCTGGAGGGACTTTCCCTGCCGGATACACGATGGACGG